GCAGAATTCAGCCGAGGGAATCCCGAAACAGTTTCTTCTGGTTCCGTGTCACAGTCGCCACAATCCTGAACACATTTCATACAGTTCAACTTCGCCTTTAGTAGCCCTTTGCATCTTCTCAGGAGGAATCAGTCCTCTGGATTATGGGTCTATGCAATCAAGATGCAAGTCCTATGGATGCAACAAAAGGTACCTTTCCCAACGGGATACGGCAGCTGATTATCTCCCACCTTAACCTCTACATGTAATTCAATCCAAAAGAACGGATGACCATGCTTTTGTATCACACACATCAGTGAAGGAAAAACTGGGCTGGCGCAACCAGCCAACACCTGACATTCTCTGAGTTCTCGGTAGCGATAAGAGCCCGTGTACCTTTTAAGGCAGTTCACAGTGTGTGCGCTCGAAAAACTTTTTTGCATCCATGGACAAGTGCTCTATGCAAAAATGCGAAACGCGACCATGCCTTACGTGAGTGAAGCTGTCTTTGGAATACTCGCATAGGCAGCGAATTTGGAAGCCAGTTGTCTGGTTCGACAGACTAGGCCTTCATACCGCCCTATTCTTTAATCATCTGGTTGGCTTTCTTTTGGGAAATGCAAACTGAGTTCGTACAGATTATACTGCGTGAGGTTTTTCGATTTATGTAGCATTCCGTCTACGTACCTATATAATGTATCCTCCCGTCCACCAACGGCATTTTTGGACTGACTGGTTTGGCGGTGTTCATTTATCGAGGGACGCAGGTGTTTCGGTGAGAAGAAGCAACTGTACTGTCAACCAACGCCGTGCGAGCACGTTCATTTGGCCCTCAGCTCCAACACAGCCACTTCAGTTACTCCTTGAATACACCATCATGGTTAACTGACAAAATGATTTAACTTAAATAATTACAGTGGCACTATCGTTTTCACTTCTATTGAAAAAACGCAGCGGCGTTGTATTTTGTCCGACAACAAACGTTGAAACTGGGCTGCTCAGTCATCAGTAGTGTATCGATGTTGATCTCATTGATCGGGTTTTGAACGTTTATTTGATCAGATTCGTGTCACACCTATCAGTCGTTTATGATGCAGTTGTGTCAGCGGGTGCTGCCCGCCGAATGCGCTACCACCACGAAGAAGATTGTCCGGTTGATCAAAGATTTGTGGATGCTGTCCTCATGCTTTTCAACACCACAGTTAGCTGCGGGCATTATTCTATTGTACGAAGAATTTTAGTCCGTTTTCGTATTAGAGAGCTGGATCTACCGCGCTGAATAGCTGATACACCCAACTTTGATTTACCTTCGACCATTTTCGTTTTAGGTCCTTCAGTTGATTTGCATTCAGTCATTTTGCAATGGTGGCCTAAAGCAACGGCTCTTAGAATACTATAAGCGAGAAATCCTACAAGTAAGTGTGATGTCTACTTGTATTCCCACTATCTCCTCTGACGTAACCACTGGAAAAACCACTTGTGAAAAATGGAGAGAACTAGCAGCATTCTTCCGTGAGTGCTAGTTCTAGTATATCGACGCCAGCTTTCTCCAAACTACCCTCCTTCTGTGGAACAAAGAATGAAATATCGGCTAGGCGCCGTACAAATAGTCTGCTTCTTAGGTAGTCGTGGTTACTGAAAACTGCATCCCCTCCCACATTTCCCAATAGGGGATGCACACGTCGTTTCTGGTGGTGCAGGCTTGGAAAGAGATTGGGGGCAAGGACTGCTACTAAATCGAATGCATTCCTTTGGTACCCCTGGTTGCAGTCAATTTTCTCCAGAACAAAATTACATGTTTAATTAGCGTAAACCGTCTGTTCATGACAAAAAAAGGGTACCATAACCTAATAGCTCATAAGAATTTGATTCTCTCAGTGATGCATGAAAATGACGATTACCCGATTGTTGAATTACTGGCATATATTCCACGCTCTTTCTACTCATCAACACTATTGATTCTACTCTCTGTTCAGGTCTATGGTTTCGAAAATGTGTTCACTTTGGACAATCTGGATCGTGTCGGTCTTTTGTATGACAGCAGCGCGAACTCTGCTAGTAACACACTCCCGCGCCTCTCTTTGGGCGCAACACCCACAGCTACAACTATGGCAGATACCAAACAAACGGTGACCGCTGTCAGTAACATGTTTGCGACCACTCTAAAAAGAAGTCTGCGACTTCTAGTCACCCCAACCTTTCCGGTTGACCCATCGGATCCAGATCAGGCACTCGCCCAGATCTATTCCGGGTACATTCCAATCTCCATACGATTGATACAAGCGCTGTCGATGACTTGGATCCCAAAGACTGTCAGTGCTTCTGCAGGCCAGCTGATTGCCGCAGGACCGTCAAACGTTCTGGCCATGACCAGCGCACTGCTGACCGGTCGTGGTTCACCTTCCAGTGTACGGTCAGACAGTACCGTCTCCGGTCAACAGCTGTCCGACAGAGCAGCGAAACAAACACGTACCAGTTCTGCTGGTGACGGCTCTAGTTTCATAATTAACCTGATTCCTGGTGGCTTTTTTGAAGAACAACAAGTGCCCAACATGCTTGGTCAGTTCGACGGTCTATCGAATGGCGGTGGAAAGGGGGGCACTACAATGAGGAGCAAACCCCGCGTGATTGTTGTCGCGTTTGTCGGTGGAGTGACACATGCTGAAATAGCTGCGCTGCGCACACTCTCTGTTACTGGAGATGGTAAGTGGTAAAACTTACAGTATTTCGAAGTATTCTCCATGCAGTTGTACTCATTCGTAATTTGTTTCTCAACCGTAAGTCAGGATGCCATTTTGTTCGTGAAGCACATTAATTCAAGCTAACGGTGACAATTTCCTTTGCTCTGACATCGATCCGCCACTTTGTCATCTACCCCAAGGCCTGTTTTGCTGTTTTTCCACCATGAAAAGCACGCCATCTGCTGAAACAAATTTATTTACATCATAGATTTAGTATATCGCCACGGTTCGGACGAAATCAAGCAGCGGAAAGCTTGGTATCCCAAACCTACTGAATCGCCTACATGTTTGTATTTTTCCGCACTTAGTATGATGGTAATCGTACTGCGTTCAGCATGAACACAAAATTTGCCCAATTACACGCCTCTGGAGTTTTAGCTTTTGCTGTTGCATTGTTGAGCAGGATTTACCAGTAATGGACCTCTAAACAATGTACTTACCCTGCGTTCAGTCGCTGCAGCTTCGTTGTTGCATTAATGAACACCATACTCTTCCCAGCACTTCATGATTATACTCGTAACTCCATCTATCCGTTTGGTTTCTATCCCTTCATTCAAGCCTTCCGTTACAGAAGTCTAGTATTCCCTAAAGCAGCACATTTGCCTACGAAACGGGTCTATGGACATTTATGGAGGTTCAGCTCGTTTTAGACTCCTGAGGGACTAACCTTCGACCCAGTCACAGTTAGCGTCTCCAAAAATTTCCGTCTTAAAGTAAGGGCACCTGTCTCAAAATATTTTAATCCGAACAACCAATTGTTACTTTTTGTCACCCAGTGAATTGCTGTTTGTGAGGGCAGTCTGCGGTTTTCGACATGCACACCCCCGGTGTCTGAACGTTACCTAACTGTACACCTTTCGGCAACCGAAAAACTCCAACGTCTTTGGTTTCCCGGTGTCGCGAATTAATCATTGGTTATTCTTAGTATCTTTCGTTAGCTAAGAGCGAGCTGAACAATGTACCTCTCCGAGACGGGGACATAGGGTAGCTAAACTGAAACCCATACCGCTGGACGGTTTAGCAAACGAATACTCTCAAGCATACCCGCTAATACACTGGGGCAGCCAAAATGTGCATAGGATTTCATATTTGCTTGTTAAAAAACAGTCTGCAGTCCGCATCATTACATCTGGTCGTCTCATTCAATTCACTACATCAGTGAAGACCTTGTAATTACGGAGTATACAACGTAGCAATTATTACCCGTCATGTGCTTCGATCGACCATTTCAATCCAGGCTGTCGGGAGATTTCACCTAACCGAACTTTCCGATTTTAGGTCATATCGTTGCAAGTCAGCTAGCGGATGCCGTGTAAAGTAAAACGTCTTAATCTGCGTTATTGATCGCGAAAACCACATTTACTGATCCTCTGTCCGACGGTATAACCTGAGCTCAGCGCCTAAGTACCTTGTCTAGTTCAGCTGCTGAATTGAGCCGGTGGACCTTGGGTGCTCTAATCACTCGCTTACTATTTTAAACGTTGCCTACTTCAGCGTTTGTTCTTTTACCAAAGGATGCGTAGACATTGCATGTGTCAGATATACGACTGGCGTACCCGAGTTCGCAGAAGCCTTTCGGTTAGAGCGAACAGCCAGATATATATTCGCATACCCGTTCATAGGAATTCCGCCCAGTCGTGCTTTTTGCAGGTACTGTAATTCATCTTTTGGCTCGTGATGTGTCGTGATTCACTGTAACCCCTGCAGGCCGTGTGTGCGGTTACTCCAGTAATCAGGCTTAGGCGCCGATCCCGAAATTGTGCACAACAGGTGACCACCAAAGCCAACTCTGCCACATCTGTTCGGGATTGGTTGTCTCTACTTAGAAGGTAACCCTAGCGAAAGCGTCAGAATTACCTGTCGCTCGTCTGTCGAAGTGCGATGATTCCCCTATGATCTTATCTGCTTCTTCCATTTTCTTTCAGCGAACGTAGAGTTTATAATTATCACAATGGGTCTTTTGAATGCCAAAAGCTTCATCGGGTCCTTGAGTCAGGATATTCAACCGGTTCCGCTGCTTCCCTTATAAATGTGACTTATTTTCATCTGAACTTATTTGATTACTTCTGTAATTTCGACAATACATACTGTTATGCTCTACATCATGCCGACTTAAGTTTCTCGTATTCAAGCTTGGCACGCGTTTGACTGCAGTGCATGATGGGTCCAACTGTCCCCCTCCTAATTCCTAATCTCACTAAGTCGTAGATACCCGCACATATTCGCACCTATGTTCGTGCTAGTGAACCATTCCTATAGAAGCCTGGAATATGCCGTAACCAACCAATGAAAGTTTTGGTTTCACTGCGAGGATACCATGCATTGACATACGTTTCCCATTAATACAAATACTTCATGTCCCCCTTTTGTCCCTTCTCAGGGGGGAACACTTGCCACCAGTTACGAAACCCACCTGAAGACCATTCTTGAGACAAAATTCCTGCTCAGCGACATCTTCAATTGGCAGAAAACCAGAAATGCCCGACAATATGGGGCACATTTTGGTCAATATCCATAACAGTCGCGCTGCGTGATCAATCAGGTGCAAGGGCGTGACGCCCCGTTTACACAACCCACGTCCAACAAAATAGTGTGAACTTAAAAAAATTGTGGAACGAGAATGACGATAGAAGCCCACTGCCGCTATCTTGCAGCCGACTATAGACTATTAATATCGCGTGGACCCTAAAGGCCTGTACAGCTCGACGAGCAAAAATCACGCTAAGTAGGTTGCAGCTCATTCACATTGCAGTGTAGCAGTTACTGAAATGGACAATCTAAGTGCGACCGTCTCACTTGGTTTCGTGGGTGGTGGTTTCTAGGCGTGGCTAGGGTAGCCCGTTTTTATGGGGATGTTCAGCTGTTAGTGGGTGAACTTACGTTTGTGTGCTGATGAACTATGCAGTGATCACCCAGTGAATGACAGGTGATTTCCCCAAGACATCCTCCTCCAGAAAGTAACAGAACATGCGGTCTCCTTGGATCTGTACTACCTCGGAGGAGTACTTCTCGAACGCTTGCAGTTGCTTTTCTCAGTATCAAGACAGCCGCCTCAGACCAAATGACCCCACCCAGAGCGAAAGATAAGAAAATCCTCGTCTAGATATACCTAGGGCGTATGTACCCCTAACCCCACGTCGATGAGGAAAGCTATGGTAATCTACTTAAGGCGAAACAGCAACTGCTGATCCTGTTGTTCTACGATTGGTTGCAGGTATCAGCCTATACGCTTATCGTTCTGGCTTTTATACTTCTATGTGGAACGCTGGTTAGTCTCCACAAATCCATAAAAATCTGATTCTTCTGTTCCGCCAACTTCTGATCGGAGATTCTTAAATCCGAGTCATATTCCATAGTTATTCCAACTGGTTTGAGAGCAAAAACCACCGAGCACTAAACAAAAACCCCGGGTGTGAATTTGATGAGGATCCGTATACTTCAACTTGTGCGCGAACGAGTCAAACAATGGATAGCGCCCTGTGTCTGACTATCCAGAACCTACATTCAGAGTCACAGAATTCTGACCTAGTTTAAACTGGGTCTTTGTCTACCATTTGAAGAGCCATTCACTACCGTTTCTCTGGATGGTAATTGTCACCTAAGGATTTTCGGGCAGCCAACGCCGCTGAAATTCGGACTAGCGCTTAATTAAGCATACCAGATCAGGCTTATTCTTTCCGTCTTTAAAGCGGGATAGTAAGTGGAACTTCCTGAGGATGATCTGCCTCACTTAGCCACTTCAGTGGCACATTCCTTGCGCCACATTATATTCTGATGTCATCCGTGCAGCGAAGACGTTAGGACGCAAAACCGACCATTTCTGTATTATTCTCAAGACCCACATTGACAATAAGTTGGATGATTTGGGATTAAAGGTTAGCGCCACATGCGCTCTGATTACGGTCGTGTTAGACATGAACACTTTGATTCAACTGTGACATGAAGCAGATTTGAACGCTTTGGTGACCGGTGTAGCTGTCCTCTAAAATCTGCCCAACTCGCCAGTCGGAGTCATCTAAATCGACCTTTCGATAATAATCTGAACCAGGATGTAAACATTTGCAGTAATGTGGGCATGACCGCCCTCACTCGGACGCGATCCGACGGCGCAGTGCATCTGTCGGCCCAACAACAGCGAATATGGGTTGGCAACACAATCAGTCGTAGGGTAAAATACGAATCTTATATAATTAATTGCATCAAACAAGGAGCGAGCCACTCTGGTGTCAGTAGACTGAACTCTGAACGCCTTCCTCTCAAAAGATGCCAAACTCCATCCCTGACCACAGTCGTCGCCATCGACAGCAATAAATAAACACCAAACACAACCCTGATAAAGATTGCAAGGAGAGGGACTTAGTACAAACAATCCTGCATCCCTATGAAAAACAATAAAACCCGGGGTATATACAACTTAACTGCACCAGATCATCAGAATCACCGACAGCATGACGTCAGAGTTCGGCACCGATGCTTCACTGCCATACAACCATGACTTATTTTAAAACCCTATTGTGAAAAGAATAAAAGTGGACGGAGAAGGGACTTAGTGCCTACACTTCTAGACATTCACTCAGGTAACCTAGATAGAAACTGACAACAAGAACGCCACTGACATCGGTTGGCAGCCATATATTGCAGCGTCTCCATACCGGCGCAGCGGGTATCACGCGGTCCTAATCCCGGAAAGCAGGTAGCATGCACATGACCCAAGCGTTTCGCAATCTCCTTCGTATCCCTCTGCCAGATCAAGGCTTGGCCGCTTCCCCCACTCTGAGTTGGCCATGGAAAACAGCCATCTCTTCGGCAAACCATGGTAAGGCATATGCAACACATGTCCCAACCACCGCAGCTTCGGGTGCTGGGCACATTCTTCAATGGAAGTACACACAGCCGAAAACTCGTTAAAGATTCGCCGATACCAACCCATGGGAGCTATGGTTCTGAGACAACGATTGTCGGACACCTGAAGACGTCTCAGTTCCGCTGCTTGTACAGACCAAGTCTCACAGTAGTACAACAAAACAGTCCACATTGTAGCTTGATACACACGTCCCTTGAAATTCAGAGATACACCACTTTGACGCCACAGGTATCTCAACTTAGCAAATGCGACCCAAGCCTTGAAGATTCGTGCATTGATCTCATCTGTCACACTACGGTCAGAATTAATACAACTTCCAAGATATGTAACATGCTCCACAACTTCAAGTGCCTCTCCCTGGATTGTAAGTGGTATGTCCAGTGACTGCATGTTCAGGTGCATGACCTTACGCTTTGTGGGTGCAAAGTACCTATCAAAGGACGGAATGATTTTGGTCGGTTTATCCGAAATCATTTGCGCCTCCTCTTCGAAGATGAGAACGATGTCGTCTGCATATTCCAGATCGAAGGGTTTTCACCACAGTCCATTTGAACACCGGGGTTTCGGAGACCTCCCAGCGTTCGTCTCATGATTTCATCGATCACAAAGTTAAATAGGAAGGGAGAGAGCGGGCATCTTTGACAGACACCACTTTGTGTACGGAAGCCTTTGGAGAGCTCGCCGCACACTCTCACACATCCGGAAGTGTGAGAACACAGAGAACTAATTAGGTTCACAAACTTCCGGGACATTTCTTGGTGGGCAGGCGTGTCAAGAACAGACCGGTCAACCGAGTCGAATGCGCCTTGGAAATCCAGGAATACTAGAATTGTGGGTCGCTTATACGTATGGCTTTCTAGCACCTGATAGTGTGAATATTTGGTCAACACAACCCTTACCAGGCTGGAATCGCGCTTGCTGCTCTCGAGTCCGTGTTTCACGAGCCACTATAAGGCGACGAAGCACGAGTGACGCCAACAGTCTCGTCACGTCCGAGGTCAAGCTGGTCCTCCTGCGGTTGCCACACTCAATACAAGCCTTTTTTTGAAAATAGGTACTATCACTGACTCTCCCCAGTTGTCTGGGAGAGACTGCTTTGGTCAAAGGCAAGCAAACAGATCAGACAAGCGCTAACTGAGGACTTCAACACCACCTTTGAAGAATGTGGGTGGGAGGTCGTTCGGACCAGAGGCTCGGTGGCGCTTGAGAGAACATGTACATTCACAAACCTCCGAGGCCGTAGGCGGTTCCAAGTTCACCGTTCAGGGTACCATCTCAACTGTGGGCTCCAGATGAGTCGCAGCTGTTGGCCACGACAGTTGTTGTTCCAATTATTCGGCCCACCGGTCTAGGCATTCTTCTTGACTAAAGATGGCCACTCCTTTCCGATCCTTGATGATTTCGTTCACAGGTGGGTTCCGGGGACCGGTCGCACAGATCAACTGAGATAATCTTCAGGCATTACCGGCTTTCCGAGCCTCTTCCATTTCCTTGGCTTTCTGTGTCCATCGCAATTCATGGTCGGCTCGCACGCTCACCTCCACTTGATGCCTGATAATTCGTCGCATCAAGTTATGTTTGGGGCCGGCTGAGATATTTCTCCGAGATTTAAGGAGTACCACCGTCCGGTCTGATACCCGGTGCTTGAATGAGCCTGGTGGCGCCGTGCCACAGACAAAACTCCCAGAATTATGTAGAGGTGGCAATCTCGTCCCAATATGAGTTCGCAACTGATGGTGGGGAAGAGACTCCGGACGAACGAGTGATCGGAATCCATAAATGTGTTCCAAAACAGGCGGCAGTCAGTTGTTGATCCATGCCATCGGTAACTGATGGCGATGTGGTCGATTTGAGTATGTGGCCGGCATGTCGCTGGAAGACACTATGTGGCCAGACGACTTCGGCTTTTTCGGAAGTTAGTACTGCAATCAGCACACAGCTGAAGCAATCATTCAGCATCGTCCGTACGTCAATCAATTAATTTGTCAGTTATAAACCGTGTGCCATAGGCACGTTGTTTCCAGCTGACACAGTTTCGATCACCGGAAAGCGGAACATACAACCACGCCTTGGAGTCCAAGGAATGTTCAGTTTGTTCGGAACTTGGGTGGCTACGAATTGAAGGCGACAGCTTTGATGTGCGAATGGGCCTTTTCCGCCAATGTCATCAACCACTGGTGATTTGAGTCTCGGGGTCCCCATCCAGAGAGGCGGCATGTGCCCGCCCAACTAAGTTTATTGGTTAATGTTTCCGTACCTCGTTGCCAGGTCAGCTCTCAGTCTCTTCCAGTCAGCACAGGCCTGGGGAAAAAGAACTCTGTGAGGCAGGTGGTCTTCTGACAGTTGGAGTACATGACCCATCCAGCGCAACTTATGAAGCCCCAGTAATTCATCTATCGCGAGAGAGTTTCCCTTTCCTTATCTGGCGTACCTCAGCATTACTAATCCGATATTCCCACCAGACCTGACCAATGCTTCGGAGACACCGATGATCAAACACTGGCATCTTCCGTATGTCCTCTGCGCGTAGAGGCCACGTCTCTGATCCATAAGGCAATATCGATCGCACCGCCGCAGTGTAAACTCTTCCCTTGACAGACAAGCTCACGTCACGTCGGTGCCATAGGTGTCGGAGGTTGGCGAAAGATGCCCTGGCCTTTCTGATTCGAGAAATAATCTCATCTCCAGCCATTCCACCGGACCTGCTGCCCAGGTCGGTTGGCTCACCTGCAAGAAGTGTGCGTTTGGGCCTATACAGTTTCGTAGCAGAACTTTACACTGCAGATGTGAAGTACATGCCAAACCGTCCTGCAGAGTTATTTAGGTTATTTAAAATCGTTTGCATTTGGGAAGGTTCTGAACCAAGGAGAGCAACATCGTCTGCACACTCAATGTTTGTGAGGGAACGTATCGCGAGCGTTTCAGTTCCCAAAGTTTCAGAGGCAAGCAAAGAAACTTCAAGCAGCATATCAATACCAAATTTGAAGAGGAACGAAGAAACAGGACAGCCCTCTTACACCACTGGAAAGGGGTGAACTCAGGTGAGCGCTTCCCGTGTACTCGCACGCGCCCATAAGAGTTCATATACAGTGCCCTCATAAGGGAAAGTTGGAAGGGACGCCTCTGATCGCCAGACTGCCAAAGTTTCTGACGATCGGCAGAATCAGAAGCAGTCTCCAAATCAAGAAAAACGACAAACGTGGGACGTCTGAAGGAATGCCTCTGCTCACGAATTCGTCTCAAGATAAAGATATGGTCGACGCACCAGGGGCGAAACCCAGCTTGATCCTCTCCCAATAATCCATTAACCTACGCAAAATAATGCGAGAGCAATTTATATGCGACCAATGCCAGGCTGGTACCATCGTTTTCACAAAGTTCCTGCTCCCTTTTTGTAAACTGGGGTGACGGTCGAGTCCTATTCGGCCGGTATTTCGTTTTTGTTCTAAACCTTCTGCAATATGGCTGTCGGACTGTTCACCAGGGCCTCGCCCTGCAATATGGCTGTCGGACTGTTCACCAGGGCCTCGCCACCTCCTTTGAGGAGCGCAGGGTGTAGACCGTCCGGGCCAGGTGCCTTGTCATGCTTCAGAACGGCAGCATGTGTTTGCAATTGTGCGTGCGTTTTCGTTCCAATCCAAGACGACCACCGAACTGAATCTCAACATGGCATTTCCAGTAACTGTGACAATAACTAGGTTCTTTGACCGCCGTAATAAGGTGGCTAAGCGGTGCAAGAGCCATCTTTGGGAGTATCAAAGCTAGTGTGTTGGGCACAAGCAAATGTAGAGGCTGATTACTGGTGCTTTTAAGTGGCTAAACAAACCACACAGAGGCAACTACCAACGGCAACCATTCAACCAGACTCTCCAGTTGAGTGGCTTAGAACGATACTAACTCTAGCAGAGCCGGCCGCAGCGGCTTCTGGATAAGCAGTGGTGCATAACGGGAAGCGACAGGAAGCTGACGGGGAAGCCAGTTCAATAACCGTAAGTGGTCTCTATTACTTGTTCCATAGACAGTATAAACCGATAGATACCGAGACCAGCGTACCTCCCAGAAACGTCTGCTGTCCGGCATACTTTAGAGTGCGGATGACATAGGCTACCAAATTAACTGAATATCTGGTTTTGAAGGATCATTTCGAAGTGTCGTGGTCGAGTTAACTACTGCAACTAACTGATCTCTGTCCTTAGGAATGAGCTTAAGAGGATGCCTCTGTTGAAGTGATGGGAGATGGACAAGTATGAGAAATAGAAGATGGGAGGCGACCCGAGGCGAAGGTACAGGCGAACTGGTTCTGCTCGATTCTGAATATCACTACACGGGTAGAGTTTTCCGTATGTCCGGTCTAGGCACTAGGAGATCTTCCGAAACCCGGCGAGAGCAATTTACAACACGTAAATCGTCCACTCTGTAGAAGCTCAGGTGGAGGGCAGCAAACTAAATCAAACCTTTCATGGAACTCAACTAGACGTCACCCTCGCACGTTCATGGCACATCTGGGTAAGTATCTACAGCTCAGCTCTTCTCCGACTGGTATCGAAACCCTTTTGCTCTCGATGTCGAACATTAAACTTCCCACATCGGTGTAGGGTTTCAGATAAGTCAATCACAATTGCACGGCCCTAAAACTATGGGACACTAACCAGGCAAAACGAATAGCTTTCTGGAGGATCTTTAGAGACTATCTAAGTTCTTAGACATACCTTATACCGGGTGTTCCATTCAACGTACAGAAAATCAAAAACTTATGGTATTGTTTTATTAGGTTCCAGGTGATGAGTAGTCAAGTATCCGAAACAAGATGTTCAGTTTGAAGAACTTCGAAAGATTAGTCTGACACAAATGAACACAGTGAAATATTATGCGAGAAAGGTTCCCATTGGAATCACTCAGGTTTAGGACTTCGTGGAGAACATGAGCGCCACGATGAGGCCATACAGCCCAAGGACCTCAGCAAATATGAGAATCAGCACCATTCCAACAAAGACACGTGGTTGCTTTGAAGTAGATCGGACACCTTCATCACCAACCACCCCAATGGCGTAACCCGCAGCAACGCCACTTATGCCAACGCTCAAGCCGGATCCCAAATCATAGAATGACCTGCAAATAATTCAATAACCGAGCGGGTGGCTTACGCATCCAAGGTATAACGGTCATCTATTCGTTGAGAAATCAACACCGAAACAACGAGACCGTAAATTGCGATAATCCCAGCCATGACAACCGGGATTAACGACTTCATAACCAAGTCAGGCCTGTTGATTGACATACATGCGATACTGCTTCCCGCCTTCGCGGTACCGTAACCAGCTCCAAGGGCTAGAAAGATTATTCATTTAAAGTGGATGTCTCACAGCATAATATAATGGCGAGACTGCAACCCATTAGCCCGAAAAAGGGCGCATAAACCGGCTGGTCCGCCATATTTGTGGAGCTTTAAATATCGCACCAATGAGTGACCGTGAGGCAACAGGTCACCGATTCACGGGAGATCGACAGCTTGAGGACATTCGTTGGGTCGGATTTTTACGTGTCGTTTTGCTGCTTTGGTTCACCTGAGAGGGGGAATGAAAAAAAAGCATAGTGCTGCCATAAAAAGTCTCGGCGTTGGACTCAAATAAAAAGCATCCTAAACTGATGCGACCCGGATCCCATATGTGTTAGCAGTTGGGGATGGTGCGTGACGCTGCATAGCGTGCACTTTTGACCGTGAAAAGCCCCTTGCCGTATCCTTGCCGTGTGGTGTAGTGGTCAAAGGGCGAAAATTCCTCTAGCAGGTCTTGAGTACACAGGACGTGGGTAAGTAAAAGTTTAATAGAGGTGAAATGTTCGAGGTCTGACACCTAATTAGCTTATGTCAGTTTATGTGACGCACAACCATGTCCACTGCGTTTCGGCCCGTGTGCTTTGTTTATATTTACCGTCCACAGAAATTGCGTGAACCCCTACATTCCCCGACAGCGGAGTCACTTCCCCTGGTGCTTCCATGGCGCGCATACTACGGAGGGAACGGTAAGGGGGTAGGTGATCAGGAATCCCAGATCGTTCCTCATAGTCATATCAGTTGACCCTGACAACCAACTTCACCGCAGTTTTATAGACACTCTGCATGTTACAGTCTTGTTACCTCCCTATCAGAAAGTTGGATGGTGTGTTCAAGGTGCAGTCTGGCATAGACCCCTTAGGGTACCCCAGCGTCAAAGCAGGACTGTCCGAATAATAAAAGTGTCTTTTTAGTAGATTTTCTACGACGGAGTTAAAAAGAAAGAAATGATAGGATTGGTTTCTTGCAATAAACACTAGGTCGGCAGTAGCCATTCGGTCAGGCTATTCGGCTAACATTTTCAGCTAGTATAACGGAGTTCCTTAATAAATCCGTCCTTATTATATAACCATATATTCTTCCAGTTGGTCGCTCTAACAACAAAATCAATCATCTGTCGGCAAAATGTTTGCGAAACTTTGTCTTTCCCAAACAATGTGGTCATTATCTCAAGAGGGCCAATAAGCTGTCTCATTTCCAAGATCGCCCGTGAAGTTCTGGAGCCAGTTGTTGTGGAAGAAATTCAAGGAGCTTTAACGGGTGTTACGATCGTCACACCAGTGACTCTCTAAATCTGCACCCCAACATGTCACGTAGGCAGGTAAATCTCATTCTCTCCAGTTCGTACGGAAGGTGTCCTCCTGCGTAGTGACACGCACCATCATTCTACAACCTAAGGCTTAGAAGATTACATGTCCTACTGGTTTGTCCCTGTCTTCAAAACTGGCTCATATTGAATCCGCACTGTGTGAAAATGCACCCAAGTGGCACGGTATTTTTATCCATCAAATCTACATTTTTGTTGAGCGGCACTCTGCGCAGAATTTGGTCATGTAGGTAGCTCCAACCGAAATACCACAGTCATCCTTAAACATAGGAAGTTTTTCTATGTTTGGCGAGCAGTTTAGTTTATTCTAAATTGCTTGCGGCCTCACAAACGGTGTGCCAAACATCATCGACGCCATCAGATCTTTAGCTGAGGGGCTAGTCGCCAACGATGTCGTATGTGGAGGCGCTCCTCTTGCTTCTGCACCATCGCATTCCCCAAATATATTTATACTTACACGTATTATTAACCACACCTCAATATTGATTGGAGAAGAAATCGCGAAATCGCTTCATTTTCATGTTTTGTTTTGTCTTCAGCAGTTCTGTTTCCAGCTACTGCATTGGCTGTAACCTGATATGAACACCGATGAAATGCAAAACGTTACTATTTGGAGTGGAGTTGTGGCCCAAAGTGAGAATGTAAGTACGCAGCTCACCAACGAACGATTTATCATCGGATGTCTCTCTTGCCATGAAACACCAGATCCAGTGAACGAACAGCCCCGATAACCTCACAGTAGAGATAAGGGACAATTAGCCAATTGGATTCAAATGCGAAATTCATCCTGATGCTTCGGTTGTGGCACGCAGTGGGTGAGAGCGCCGACTAAATAAACGTCCACGTAAGTCATGCTGATAGCGACGAATGTTCTCAGAGAGCAATTTGGAACACAAACCGATGACTGTCATGGCCATAATAACTCGCGCTAATTTAATAGAACTACTAAGTAGGCCATATCAGTAAGGGTATCTTCTTTATTCGTTAGGAGTCAGTTTCTACCTCAATTGAACTGTTGTGGAAATAATTCGAAAGTTGTTTAAGCTTGAAGCAAAAAAAATACAAGTTTAATTGCACAGTGACAATCGTTCAGCTGTATAACATAAAAAACAGTTGCTCAAAATACCGGCTACAAAAGGCAAATTTCATCGTTTCTGATTAAAATAACGATTACGCTGCCGCTGAAAACTTATGGGACGCTCGCATACTTTGTCTGTCTGCAGGTGTAACAGCTTCCAAAACTGAACCAGCTGGTTGTACATCTTATGCTGCGGTAAACCAAGAGACGATCTGAAACTGCGTCTAACACATGATACGTGGGAAGCAAAGGAGGTGTGATCGAAAAGGGTATATTCTCGACGTTGTTGACGAGATAAGCTCCAAAAGTAGGCGAAACATTTTGACTCCATCACACGTAGCCCTTTACATGGCTTTTTTGCAAGAGCATGACAAGAGAATGAGGGTGCGCTGGCTTAGTATGTGCGCATGAGGCAATTTTACCGCTCTACAAGCCGCCAAACTTCTCTTTTCCGGTTGGGGATACAGAGCCAGTTCTGATTGGAGTCTAAACTTTATTCCTCCTGGTTTACATCGTGAATTTCACGTCTGACGGCTTGTCGGGAAAATATAGTTCTTATNGTTCTTATTACCGGTGCTCTTCCGATTACAAATCACAAGTGCTCTGAGAGTCCAGAATGCTTCATAAACTCCCTAAGAAAACAGCCGCGGATCCTGGAATTTGAACAGCAGAATAAAACGAACATTCATCGCAGCCAAAAATTATTTTCCCTGAACCAACCTTGCAAAACGTGCTGCTACATAAGCAGGATGAAGTGGACAAATTTAATCGGGAGGGCGGTGATCATATGGATCTCCTACAGGTACTAGTAAATATTCTGATTTCCATATTGCAATGCCATGAAGTCTTTAGGTACCTGGTTCTAAAAGAGGGTGTTTTCTTTGATACCTGACTTCTAAATGTCATTCTTGCAGGCCGAGGCGATTGGAAATACTATTCAGCTTAGAGGCGACCCTATGATATCCGAACCCAGGTAGCTGAATCAGCAATACACGGTATCATCTATCAGGCCATTGAGACCTAAAATTGCCCAGAAGTGATCGAAGGCCTCCTGGCTAAAAATATTTTCACGGTTGAACTGAGTACCTAGAGTCCGCCAGTGGGAAATACTTGGCTTATGCATCAACTTTGCGTACTAAATTAGTTCTGATTTTTTCTCAGTAATATATTCTTTCTTAACCGGGTAGGCACCTAGGTTTGTTCGTAACTAGGGGTCCTTCCGAAATGAGCCATAAAAAGTGCACCTTTCCAAGAAGTATCATATCTTGCACTATGACTCATACTGTGGGGTGATCTACATAATTGGCTGAAATTATGTGCGTACGAAATATGGTGTATTATTAGATATATTATGCATAAGCCAGAGGTGGCGGCGGAACTTTTGTGACTCGATGTTTAACTTGAATTGGAAATTTCGCAAATGTGGCAATCCCTACAAAGTATATTCGAGTTCCGATCACACAGGAATAAAAGCGAGTGACAAATTCCGTGAGATGTAATTAGTACGAGTAAACAAGTAATCTTGACAGCGTAATTTCATTCATTAACGTATCACAATCGCAGCTTGTACAGAGAAAGTTTGTCCTCATTTCGGTGGCCAACTTGCTAGAGGGGACACCAAGGCATTCGTCGCATCGTCGAAGTGATCCGATTGTCTCACTTAAGTGTAAAAGACATCTGAATAGTAACGCCTCTCATCACATGGACACCGTAAGACATCACGCAGAAGTGCAAAGTTTGCGAAGACTCAGTGATCTATTTCTGTTTGCCAAGAGGAGAGATCTTCTATGTTGTTGCTGCCCAAAATATGAAACTGAATTATCATTACAGGCTTTCTTTTTAAAAACCCCTGTGTGTTTCTTGCGAATAGAAGGAAAGCCGAAATATTGGCTGACGTTCACAATCCAGAATATCAGATTAAAGTAACATTAGAAAGGGAAGGTTTCGATCGACCAACAGGGGCATACGTGGGGAGGCATTGTTACGTAGAAGCAGACCGATTTAGGCCATTCTCCGCATGTATTTTGTCTTGCAAATAAACCGGCTCACTGATGCAGTGGTATCAGTAAAATGCCTGAAATTACGTATGAACACTCTTCATCGTAAATTCAATTATACTTTTGCATGGCCTACTTCCGGCTCTTCATGTGGCCAGAAAATTTTGCCAGTTTCATTGGCTTTATTTAATTTAAAATTTAAAACTACCGTCGATTTTTCTGGGCAAAACTGTCCACCATAAAAAAACCCGACGATCTCCACAAGTGCTACGGAGGATAGTAAAGTACGCTCAGTGCAAGCCAAACCTTTGAGAGAAGTTGCCAGCAACCGCCTTTGGAAATGTGCAGCCACCCATACACACATACCTTACTGTTTGGCTCACGGCCGCTCACTGGACTACGAGAATTGTCTTTTCATACTCACAGACCACGTCACATTCAGGTGACGCACTGGATATCGATTGTTTGTACCGTATAGTGAGCGGAGCGACAACCTCGTGTGCTAACACACGCGCGTACACGCAAGCGGACCCACATATAGGGAAACCGAACACAGCCAGCACACACTCTCGCGCGCGCATGAAGCCATACTAAGTAGAAAACACGTTCCCGCTGTCCGAACTTTCACCACGGAGCTTTCACGGACGATAAGTTGCTCTTTTGACTTGCTCACATTTAGCGTTGTATTTATTTTTGTAT